AGCAGCTTCTGTTCTCCTAAATGCTGTCATCTTAAGGTCAGAGGTAAGAGTTAGACTCACCTGTTGTTTAACTTCCCTGCTAGTTATCTACTACTGGCTACCACCCAGGCAAAGGGAGGCAAAGATGGACTCATATGGTAGCATGCAAAACTGTGTGAGTCTAAATAAGAATGGTCAATTTGAGAAATATCAAATCTATCTACCTTCACAAACTGAGGGTTCTGTGAAGTAATACTTGAACTTCTAGAGTGCCTTGCAAACAAAATAAGCTTCACAGATATCCCATGAGAATCCTGAGCCAACTGTGACTACATTCAACAATAAAGCGAGGAACAGAAATAAAATCCTTGTCCAGGAACCAGACAAACAAGAAAACTTGGACAGACCTATGATTTCAAACTCACTTTCTGAAATCTCAACTTATGCTTCCATCACATAGCCATTTCTCCTGCATTTGAAAACAAGCCTACATACGAGTAGTATCAAGCCACAAAAAGACAATTTTAAAATCCCTGAAATTCTTTGAGGTTTGTTTTTATCCTCCAGGTGAAAGAAGGAAAACAAGCATAAAAATATGGTTTCAACCATCAAACACATGAGTGCAGCATTTGTACCTAAACTTAATGCTCAGCTCCCATCTCTTTCCATTGGCCAAACTGACTAACAACCAGAAAAAGAGAAACAAAAACCTACAAAGAATGAAAAGCAACAAAAAGCTAACAAAAATATTAACTAGGAAGTATGGGTTTTATTTATTTATGCTTCCAGTGAGGCAATGGTGTAACTGGTAGCTAAGAACCCTGACATGTCTTCTTCTAACACACTCAGGCCTATTGAGAAAAATCAGAAGGCAGGAAGAGAGACACCTTTTGTCTTGTGTTTTAACTCCAGAGAATCTTGGCAACGTTGAAATACATAAGTGAAAAGGAGAACAAGGATGAGGTATTCAGGACATATTGATGACCTTTTAATTGGCATACCAGGCCGCACTTCAATCGTTGCTGAATCGAGATCGGAGTCTCCTTTGGCATCCGTCACCTTCAAGTGAAAAGTGTAGGTTCCTTCCACCAGATTGGTTAGCTGCAGCACCGCCTCGTGGTCTGAGCCATGGATCACATCCTGCAAAAAACGGTACCGTGATGATTGTAACCTCAGACAAAGTTGCAGGTGTGACCATCAAGTCGGGTATCTGATACGACTGTGAGCTCCTGCTTTGGCTTTTGGGACAAATGGGACCTATCACAGTTTCACAGCACAGTGAAACGCAACTTTGGAAGTGGGAGTTCATGGATTAATGGAGACGTCTGCGCAGTATGGATATTTTCATTTCAATGAGATGGAACAGCTGACATTCTCAAGCACTCACCTGCTTGAAAATCTGAGACAGTTACATTATCCTCACTCAATTTTACTCCAGTATCCTTTAGTTCTGCTTTCTTACATTCCAAATTATTTCCTTTCCTTGGAGTTCATATGTTTCCAACTGTCATGCCTGCCAGCTATATTTAAGCTAAACCTCTTCAGTACTTCTATCCTCACGTGCTTCTAGAAGCTTTGTTATCATCCTGCTGTTTCTCCTCTCCCAGTTCTTGCTGGTTTGCCACTATCTTCCTGACTGGGAAAAGCTGTCCGCAACACTTGGTGTGGATAGGCAAAAGATGTCACAGTATGAGTAGCTAACAGATAAACTGAAGTTTATCCAGAGGTACTCCTGCTGCCTGTCCCCACTTGGAGAGCAGACTCCACTGCCCTAATGACCCAGGCTATTCCCTGGAGTGTGCCAGGCACGGTATTGCTACATCTGGTGCTAAACACCATTTTTATCTTAAACTGCAAGTTTCACCTCATCTGGTACCAGACATGATTCCTTCGTTTTTATCAGCACTTCTTGCTCTCTCAGAGCCTTCCTCCTTTGGAATAGATGGATTTCAGATTATTTTTCCCTCAAACACATTAACTTGGTACTATCACCGATTGCTCTTTAAGTGCCACGACTTCATTCTTCTGTCTTGAGTCTTTCCCAACTAGGTCCACACTGCTGCAGTCCTCTTAACTACCATATTCTACAGCTGTACTGAAAATATCATAAGTCCCTGGGACCAAAGCAGCCGAGACAAACCAGAAACAGACACCATGCCTCATAGCATCTTAGGAGCCATACCTGCCTGTCCTTCTGCAGTGATGCTACATGCACAACGAGACACGAATCTGACCTGTTGGAACCTTCAGGAAACTTACCCCAGCTGCTGGGCTTTGACCATCTCGAATCCACAAATACGACACAATCCCCTGGTCATCAGCAGACCTTGAGCCATCCAAGGTAATGGAGTTATTTGGAAGCACTAAAACATGCTTCCCACCAGCATCCGCCCGGGGTGGACTGTTGTTTTCTAGCCATAAAAATAGTGGAGGAGAAGGATGTCCTTTCAAAACGTGCACAATGTGACATGACATCACCAATACATCCACGCTGCAATTCTTTACCACAGTAACAACAGAATCTTCTTTCAAAGGTACAGGGAAAGGCTGAGTAGGTATACAGGATCTGGCTCCAGAATTATGACAATCTGACAAAACCAGAGCTGCACCATGAGAAGAATACCAGTAAGAGGTATCATCCAGAAAGATCTTTTTCAAAAATCATTCTGGGGTATTCTATTTACAGTCTCACAACTATTTACATGTCAGATCTTCTCAGTCAAGTAAAAAGATTTTCTGCCTACTTGGAAAACACAGACCAGCCTAAGATCACCATGCTGGGCTCTTCTCGTCTTGAGAATCGCTTATTACCTAACAGAAGGCTTGTGTGAAGTCTTACATCTTCACAACACATGTATTTAGGCAAAGTGTATTCAGGAAACTTAGACTAAATCCAGTTCCCAAGTGTTTTTTGCTTACCACTAGCAGTGAAATTAAAGCATGCATTGGCAGTATGGTCAAGAAATACCAAGGAAACAGGAACACACATTCACTTTCCAGAGACCAGACATCACTGACTTTTGTTTGGAACACAACTGAGAAGACAGAGTTCCATGAAGCTGTGAGGCTAAGTGAAATACCTCCCTTGCTGGTCTAAATATTAGGTTGGACATAAATACTCCAATTTGGGGCAGATCCCTAGGGCACTGACTGCAACTGTATTCTTTAGAACAGCACAGAGTTCTCTGCAACACAAGCAATCTTCTTGGCTCTTCCAAATAAACCAGCTGATTAAACTTGGCTATTGGACCACTGAATATTTTTAATATTGAACCTGTGACTAATCAGCACACACTGAGGCTACACTTCACAGCACGAATGAGATCACAAGACATCTGGGCAGAGCTGTTGCCATGTGTTTCTGACTAAACACCTAGCAAACTCTGGAACAGTTCAACCAATGGTGCATATGGGTAAAACTGAGTCCAGCTTCTTCTCCAAGATGCATTCGTTCTGCAACGATACCAAGTGAAAAAGAAACAAGGCTGCACTGTTTTCAAGAAAGTCAGCTGCTAAAATTCTGATGCAACTCTGCTATCATTTCATAAACGGGATAGGTACCATGCTTGCAGAGCCAGAGTGCATCTCTCCCCTCAAAAAACAAAATAGGCAACAGAAAACCAAACTCTGGACCCAAACAAGATTTGAAACGTATCACATCATCTTCTCTAAAAGGAGCCATAGGCCCATGGAGATTGCTAAAATCACTCCCTGAGGAACAAAATGAGGCAAAAGATGACTGGATTATCACCATCTGCAAACCTGAGGATGCAATGTAAGTCAAAGCTATGAAATCTGTCAGGAGTACCTGGCAGTACCTTTTATCTTGCACAATAGGTATTATTATCCTAAAGCTTCTTCTACAGCATGCATATTGGCAAAAAAAAAGCCACAGCAACTGTTTCTCTGTATCAAAAAACCAAAATAAATACAAGTCTTAATTTTAAGTTTTCAAGTGGAAAATGGTATACTCTGAGACCTCATTTCTTGGATGTTACTTAAATCTCACAGTAGAATTGCTTTTCTGCTCAAAGCTCAACTTTGAGAATAAAATCAAAACATATCCTCTTAATGAAGCAGACACATCACGGTCAAAAAAAAGTATTTTGGAGCATTTTTATTACAACTCATTATGCATGTACTTAACTTTTAAAAAGCTTACAGTAAGTGAAGTTACTTCTACCAGTCACTCACAAGACCACTTTATTACAAAATAACAGCAATTGAATACCCTTGAAATATGACAACAAATACATTCTCCTTTTCTGTTCCAATCGCCTTTACATTCTGTCAGTGATGGAATTAACTGGCAAGTTGCCTACTATATCCTGAGAAACAGCAGCTAGGCTTACCTTCCTTCACAGTAACAGACAGCACAGATGCACTGCTTAAGCCCTGTTGGTCTTTTACGGTCAGCCTGAAGCGATAGGTACCAACCTGAAGACCAGTCACAGTTGCTATTGCTTTGTTGCCATTTTCCATCTGTACAGAGCTTGGTCCACTGAAAGAAAACATCTCAGAAAAATAATCCTGCACAGCCAGCCAAATTGTTCTTCCAGCAGCATCATGCTATTTCCTTTCATGTATATTGTAGTTCTACCACCACTATAAACACTGATGGTTAAAGAACTAAGATATGAGTTTAATTCAGAGAATTCATAAATCCATTTTTTTTTTTCAAGACCTTCAAAGCACCCAAGCATCACACCCCCAGTTATTAGCAGGGCAGAAAACGCACCGCAGAAGTTCAGCCTCCTCACTGTACCATTCCATGGGAGCAGGCAAACATTACTGCTCTAAGAGCTTCTCCCAACATACACATGGTGCCAAACCTCTTCCTGTACCACAGATATGACAGCTTCACGAGCTAATACCTCGTCCTTTCATCAAGGATCAATTAGCTTTGCATATCAACATACCATCACAAACTTTTTGTAAGGCATTTTCAATCATCATTCAAGAGCGCTTTAGTCACCTACTACTGAAAGCTCAGGCTAAAGAGATTGGCAATTTTCTTTATTATTCAACAAACAAATGACTAAGACAGTCTAGTTCTGGGCAGTAATGGGAAAACTTTGTACATTACAGGATGGTACCCAAGCCTGTTACTTGCTTTTTAACAGGAGACATAGAAATTCCTGTCATTTTCTCTTAACTTTATAACAGTTGGCCTCAAAATGACACATTGCAAAAGTACAGGCAGAGATTGCCTAAGTTTTCCAAGTTGAACTTAAAATTCCTGTCTCTTACCTTATTACCACCTGAGCAGGAAGAGCCTCAAAGCAGCTCAAATAGTGCATCACTAAACTTCACTGCGTAAGAGGCTCTGGCACCCAATCACTTTCACTTTGTTCTCTGTTTTACGGGAGGTTAGTACAATCTCTAGATACCTGATATCTTCCCAATGATAGAAGACAATGCCTTGGTCATCATGGCTTTTGCTTCCATCCAGCGTAGTACCTTCTACTGGGAAAGTCAATTCTTTGTCAGGGCCAGCCACTGCTACTGGAGGACTGTTATTTTCTGTAAAAATATTTAGTGTACAACATTTGTTAGGGTAGTCACTGGCAAGGACTACCAATCAGAGAGGAGACTTCCCCAGAATATTATATTACAAATTACAATTTGGCTTTAAACTGAAAAAGGGAAGATTTAGATTACATATAGGGATGAAATTTTTTACATTGAGGGTGGTGAGGCACTGGAACAGGTTGCCCAGAGAAGATGTGGATGCCCCATCCACAAGTTCAAGGCCAGGCTGGATGATGCTTTGGGCAACCTGGTGTAGTGGAGGGTGTCCCTGCCCATGGCAGGGGGGTTGGAACTGGATGATCTCTAATGTCCCTTCCAACCAAACCATTCTATGATATATTGGCTCAAAGATACAAATCACAAGTATAAAGTGCACAAGTCAGCAGAAAATACCAGGTGGGAGAGACCAGCTCTGCAACAAGGCAAATCCCACAGCAACTACTTCCCTTTTTCAGTCATATCTGAAGGCACAGTCACCCTCTAAGAATTCTGCAGCATGCTCAATGCATTGCATGAAAAGTTTTATGATGAGTGGTGGGGTATTCTCCCAGTTCCACTGCTGCATCCCTTTCAAAACCACCCACACAAATATGATTCCCTGCCCTCAAAGAAGATACTGGCCCAGGTTTTCTGCTGCTCAAGGTCAGCATTACACCACTAAGTTAATGCCAATTTAGAGTCTTCGAGGATTTAGTGCAGAAACATGTAGCCTATTATTCTGTTTTCAACCTTTTCTTTTGTGGCATGGTAAATCTGGCAATGCTGTCATTTTCCTGGATATTTATTTCTGCTTAGACCCGACTTAGACAATAGCATCTTCCTAGTTTCACACTATAACAAGTCTAAAAAGCACCACCACATGCTGTACTTCTAATTCACATTCTTGAATTCTGCAGTAAATGCCAACTGTAAAGCTTTCCCAGAAGGGGTCATCTACAAAAAGGTGTGTAACAAGCAATAACAGGAAGATATAACATTGTCCCGTGGTGGAATGTGAGACCTTCAGATGGGCAGAAAAGGCCACTTTGCATGCAATAGGCAAACACACCACAAAAAAAAAAGGCATAAAAAAGCCCCATCTCATGAGGCCTGGACCATTTGGGCCCATCCATCACTCAGCCCCTAGATCTAAACAAATGGGTGAAAAATTCAGCTTTTGAAAGTTCTTAGCTTGACACCTTTCCCAACAAAGTGCGATTCAATTCAATTCTACCAAGTATTCAGATCACATGGGGACGCTTGAAGGAGAACTGCGAAAGAAGAAAACTGAGCAAGGCACTGCCTGACACTCTGAACATCTTTGCAAACCAGACTTTGTAAGGTATTAAACTCGGAGCTACACGGTAGCTTTTCCAAGGACACTCACTCAAGCACATCCGTGTGCAGCCTGCCTTATGCAACCAGGCTCGCATTAGCCCTCGGGATCACCACCTGGGCTTCCTATGAACCTACACTTGGTTTTTCTGTTTGCTTTGACAGCAAATGGAAGTCCTTGCTCCAGGGACACCAAGCATTCAGACTGCCACCTCCACAGTGCAATGCAGGGAGATGAGGTATTTGGGGACAGAGCTAAGGCAGCAGGCTGGCCCGCTCCGAGGGACCCCCATGTGCCCGACTCACCCGGCTGTACGATGAGAGTGACCTCAGCTGTGGACTGCTGCCTCGCCGAGTCCGTGACAGTCAGCTGAAACGTATAATCTCCCTCCTGCATTGCAGATAACTGCAGGTACGGCGTCCGTACTCCCTGCGCAGCATTTACAAACAGAGAGAGCATGAGAGAAACCAGAAACGCTCTTGGGTTATCAAAGGTCTTTCAGAGCAAGTGTTAAGAAAAAAATAAAATTTGGTTTAATTCATAACAAGCACAGTGTTTGAGCAAGCAGTTTAAGCACTTTGTGGACAAAGAGGAGACTTAAAATTTGATAGAGACATATGTAATGCATTCACTATTGCAACTGTCCCTGCCGACTCAGAGCAATATCTACAGACAATAAACCTTAATTTCTTATGCTGGTATAACTGCAGCATTATTTTCGAGTAACAATAACTGTGAAACACACAGGACATTAAGCTTTCTCACCTAGGAAATTAAACACTGATGGAAGTTACTTAGCTTATTTCATTTCCAGAGATATTTTAAAAACAAGTATCATGACATTCTTCAATATGGTATTTATAAAAATGGCTAAAAGCAAAAGCAAGCTTGACTTGATCCCAGACAAATAGATTTATGGAAAAAGCATATTCAGGACAGAGTTGTCTTTTTTAATATACTCTTCTAGCAGTATTACCTGATCTCTATATAAAGTTCATAAAATGACTGGGCCCAGCTATAGGTCCTTTTGCTAATAAAATGAACATTTGTGGCATCTCTCTTATCAGGAACAACAAATCACAGTACAATTAGGTTATCTTTTTTAGATAAAGATGAGAATGAGAACTAAGGGATTTGATAAATGATTAACTAACCAGAGGTACTTGTTAAATTGCACTCTGACCATGGATACCATGTAACAACGCACCTGAGATCAGCATCCTCAGCTTTAGACATGAAAAAGATTAGCAGGCTCTTGAAAAGAAACTGTAAAACGTTTTTGGACCTCCACATTAAATACCCAATGAATCCATCAGGTATCTCAAGCAGCCATTCCCTTCTTTCATAGATTTCTAGGTTGGAAAAGACCTCAGAGATCATCCAGTCCAACTGTCCCTAATCTCCCATTAAACCATATCCCTAAGTAGTTCATCCATCCTTTTCCTAAACACATCCAGGGATGGGGACTCAGGAAGACTGCTTTAAAACTGAACTGTTCTTAAAAGCTACAAGTTCAGGTTGCACGGATGCTTTTAGTGTTTATCTTGGTAAAAGAACAGAAATAAGCCATCATGCTACAAGCCTTTCCACATTTTCATAATTGCCTCCACAGTAGATGCTTGCATCAATATTACTCCTTTCCTAAACAGACCTACAAAGTGACCTCTTTCTACCTCTGAAGGTCTAAAGTAACATTTCTGCAGCACAGTAGAAATCATGTCATAAAAAAATGGGTTCTGAGGTTCAGCTGGCTTCATCACATTAATTAACTCAACTGCCTACAGAGCTACAAGAACCTCCAGATTACTGAGTGCACGTCCACTGAAAATTTTTTATTAACTTTTCTCAGATTAAAAAACACAACACAGCCATGAAAATAAGATAATAAATTCAAGTCAGCCTTCATGGGACACCTGTGTTTTAGTGAGCATAAAAAACCCACCATAGAGCACAGCTGCATAACACTGCCAAAAGTCTTATCGTCTTTCACTCAGAAAATTAAGTTTCTGTTTGTGTCCTACTTTCTCCAGGAGAAAATCATAGAATCATAGGATGGTTTGGGTTGGAAGGGACCTCAAAGATCATCCAGTTCCAACCCT